TTCTGTTGGCCGATCCCGTTCAGGTTCAATGTGTAGTGAGGATTCAGCATCATCTGAGGAGATGCTCGGAGAGAGAAGCAGGCAAGTAAAGTATTTCGAATTAACCATTGTTTATTATTAAAAGTAACGAGAGAAAAGAATGATAACCCCCAAGGTTACTTACGTTTTACTTTTGGGCTAGGGGAGGATTATAGTTTGGTTCCAACACAAAATAGCGAAATTTCAGCGAAGTGTCAGAAAGAAAAACGATTAAACGAGGAAAAACAAAAAAAAAGGGGGGGGTTTCACTTCGTTTTTACAGATAACAACATGAAACTACAGGCCAGAGGAAGTTAACATATTCTATCATCTACAAGCTTGATACAGAAATGTATCAAGCTTGTAGTAGGCTTAGATTAGTTGTGTAAAGCTAGGCGGAGTGGACATTATATGATTGATTCTTCATTAGAAGTATACCTCAGGAACCTATTATCAAATCTCGTTTTTTAGAGGAACGTATCTTTTGCAGGGCCAAAAGTGAGGGAGAGACTTCTAGTGGTTCTCAGCCAATTTCAATTTCCTTCGTCAAAAACCTTCCAGTCAGTCAGAGAAGACAAAGTGTTCCAGACACCACGTTTGCTCCGACACAGCACATTAACCCAACCAGGACAAGAAGGTGTTCTGTTCAAGTAGAAGATCTTGACGAACAAGGGTAAGACGCTAATTATTCAAACAACCTCACAGTTATTCTTGGCACTCGGCTAGCGTATTCGCGCAAAATCATGCATAACGCGCTCCTTAATAAAATGAAAGTAGAGGATCTCCGTAAGAGAGAGATAATCCACAAGAGAAACTCAACATTTTTTGACAATCCCCATGTTAGCTAGTCTTTTCTCTGTGGGAAGGAGTCTGATGTCATAATAAAAATTATATCACTTATTTATTTTGATCATTGACCTCTCACTTCATTTACTGTAAAATCATATCTTTTGTTTTGTTTCAGCTATCAAATAAGCCCGCAACTTCGCGCGAGACTAAAAATGCGCGAACGCCCTCGTGAAAATTTACCATGGAACGAATGGAGGGCAGGTAGGAGGCGGTCTAGTTCCTTACAAGACGCTAACAAGGATGAAAACTTAGGGCCGGAAAACACAAACCAAGGAGAACTTCATAAAGACGAGCTGAGCGACAAACGCGCCGACATACGTGGTGAGACGCGCGAAGAAACACGCGTAGCGTGGAACGAAAAAAGGCGACCGGAGTCTGCTAGGTATGGAACGCACTGCCGAATGACGTTCACTGAATGGCTCGATAACAAAGAAGCGTTAGATAGGTCTAGACCAACCTCCGCGCAGAGAAGAAATGAGCATGCAAAAGACGATACTAATCACCAGAGTCAGACAGCGAAAGCGTACAAGGAATGGCTGCGGAAGAAAGACCAAGAGGCTTTGGAGAAAGAGGAGATGCTGGGAAGGAAAGGGAAGAAAAAAGTTCATAGGACATATCATAGAAAGTGATTGAGTAAAACTTGGATGGTATGCCTGCAATCACAGTTCCAATGCTATTTCTTACTTGACTCGTAATGTTATACTTTCATATTTGTTTGAAGAAAAAAATGCGTTACGCCTCCAAGCGTATCAATCCAGCCGATTAAATTGAAGCAAATCTTGCCCCAGCAATTTGACTCAGTGAAATTTAGTTGTCACTCAGCTTGTCATGACATTACTAAGAACAAATCACCCAAAAGCTTTTAGTAGAATTTGACTGGACTTTATAACAATTTATATGTAAAGTAATTTCGAGGTGGAATATGCTAATGAAGAAATTGTGACGTCTGTTGCACTTGAACCTAATTAGGAGAATTTAAGGAGAAAGTGTGCAGTGTTATGAAATATTACACTTTTTGCCATCTACTTCCATCCAATCAAACACAAAATGATTTAGATATTGGGGCAAAAGTAAGAAAAATCAGATTTAATTTCTCCCGTTGCTGTTAATGTGATGCTTAAACTCACTGAGTGAGGTCAATACTGGACATGTATCTGATGTTCCAGACTAATAACATAACACAAAGAGGTTGATATTTGGAAAAATCATTGGTAAAGACAAAAATTGAACGATGTACCTTGTGTTCGATTCATTGATTCATGCGTTTACTAATAATTATTTTCCGGTTGAAGGTTTTAAATCCTCGCTATGTATTAAAAAATTGATACATATATCTATATTTATTATCCAACTGCACCAAGTAGAGTACAAATAACGCAAGAATAGAGTACAAATATCCTGCGATATTTTACGGTTATTTAGACAGTTGGTTATTTTGTACTGTAAAAAAATCTGTTTAACTAGTCGGCAGCGCGCGCTACGCTTCTCTATCCGCTGTGCTTTTCCCACCTTTTGAGAAATGAGAAGAAATACTTAGCAGAAAAAAAGCAGCTGGATAATAAATAACTTATTAGACGTTTTGATGTGTAGTATCGCTGAATATTTTTAAGAGTTGTTCGTGTTTTGACTCGTTTTACGGGCTCGTCAAAATACGGCAGTACGTTTCATTATAGAAAATTTTCCGTTGCAATGTATATTGAGTTTAATTATTTAATTTGCTTTTCATTCGTGGCTTGCCTCTCGCGCATTACGCAAGAAGTTGTTTACCTCAAAAAATTGTTTATTCACGTGAAAAACAACGAGGACACCTGTCCGACTATCATTTTCCTGGCCCCTAAGATGAAAATCTCGCCTGCCAACAAGTAACACACACCCTATGAGCAAATGATTGAACTAAATTTGTTAAGTCTCAAAATATTCTGAGTTTTCGCTATCAAGCCGTTTAATAACAATGTCAGGCGATGATTTTATGAGAAAAAATCTTTTAAGCTAAAAAACCAAGAAGACTTGACGAACATGGACAAAAATGACGGAAGCATTACTAGGCGCGGTTACTAAGGAGGTTCCCCTGAACCGAAACTGATCGGCCAGATTTGTCAACTCAAAACTATAGAGAAATTTCACCAATTTGCTGAAACGTTCATCAAGATAAGGCGGACACAGTCTAGGTGGGGTCTTTTCTGGCCAGTCATTACCAATTATAGTATCAATAGAGCAACAATTTGGACAAAGTTTTAAATCCGCGTTACTATCTACTAGAGCTATTTATGACTAGACGTGTCTCTATCTCGCCAAAAAAATTAATTTTGTAATTTCTACCAAGTTTAAGGAAGAAGATTTAAACGAAGGAAAAAGAAAAAAAAACCCAAAAGATTAGTGGTGATGCTGCTCCATGGAAACATCCTTTTATTCTCATGGTAAACTGAAGTTAATTGTTCGTGCAAATTCAATCTCTCTTTAGTCATCTTACTTGTCATCATGTACTTCAAGGAGCCAGTGAACTGTACTTTCCTTGTCTTTTACGTCTTGGGAAACTATTATTTAGTAATCAGATATCACAATTAATTAAGGAGGCTTTGCAATTGCTAAAAATTGGCCTTTTGCATTGATCTTTGAAACAACATGTGCTGTTTTTTTGTTTTGTTTACATTCTGACAAGAGTTCATATTTTCTTGATAATGAGTTATCGTCAAAAATTACCCAATAAACCCAAAGCAATACTTAGCAGAATCGTGATTATGCATAAATTCAACAATTACCACGCATCATTCTTATTTGTGCGTGATACGCTCTGCTCCTTGACGACTACTATCGGGAACAACAGCGATTTAACGCGTCAAACTGGAAGAACCCAGTGCGCAAGCTCACAGCGTGACCTAGCCCCTTGAAGGATACGTTTTCGTGACAACTATCACATATCACTTTGGCAAAGTATAATAATCGACAAGCTCTTGAATGATGTTGATAGCTTTGTTGGCAAAATTAGTAATAATTAAGTGAAACCTCGGTATGCGAGCAAACCAATTTGCAGATCTTTGCACACGACCACTTCGTTCGACGTGATTTTGTGTCACAAACGAATGCCTTATCTTTATCATTAGCGAACAGATTTGCATTCCCAGTAATTCTTTCTTCTATTTTCTTTTTCAGCGCTGCAACACGATCGAGGAAGCCCATGGATTTTGACCCGGTGAGGGATGCGAGCTGGCGAGAGGTAAACGAGGAGTCTGGGAGGTTTTTGGAGAGAGTGCCAGTCTCGCCCGCTTGCTTCACCTGCCGCCTAGAAACGCATTGGCTCGGAATTGGACGCTTGTGCCGCCTACCTAAAGGGCTATGTCTTTTTGCACGAATGCGATCAAGTTATGACTCCCATGATCGCTCTATTTCGCTTAAAAACAAAGAAACGTTTAAACTCTTTCATTAGCTATGTACATAAGTTAATGTTAGTGCAAATCTCAAAAATCATTTTGACCTTTACCTTTCGTGTCAGAGCTGAAAGCGCTCTCACACCATATTTTATTTTACACCTTTTTGTTAATCATATAGAGGATGCCGTGACGTTACACCCTAAACTTGTAACTCAACTGGTCAATATATAATCATTTTCTTAACCAACAGTGGTCATATCAACAGAACCCAATATACTGTGTATTACGTCACAATTACGCTTGGATAGCTATGCTTTGTTTGTTTCACACTTATCGCTAAGTACCTTCAATCGCTTTATTAAGACTGCACAAGTAATAAAACAAACTTGAGAGCCCCTTGGGGTTTACGATTTTTTTTTTCTACATAGCAATTATCTTTTTATTCTTGAGCCTTTGCAACTGCTTTTACGTTCGTACACAAACGCAGACGTCAATAGTACTTTGCTGCGTGGATATTGCAGTGTTCTTTGAACCATCTTTCAACAGTAAACTAAATAAAGGCGCTGAATGACACGGCAATATAATCTTGGACGTCCGGTATCATATTATCGGGAGATTCTTTCACCCCCTGGCTGGTAACATATCCAGACGATGTTGTTAAACGACGCCAAAGGTTTCTGATCAGCGACTGAAGGCACTGAACTAAAGAGCAAGAAACCAGCGGCGAAGTCAGTATTCGTCGGTCAGCTTGAAGGAAAGAAAATCTGTGAAACATTTTTAAAGGATAGCGAAAAAAAATGGATGAACAAGAAGAAGGCAATGGAAGAGCGTCGATAGAGGAGGCCATAGATGTTTTTCAAGTTAACGTCCAGTTGCCAACAGGTGAAACCTTAACTCTTGAAACAAAAGGCTCGTCAAGTGTGCGTGATTTGAAAATTATAGTGGAAGTGAATAGCGGAGTTCCGTCTGATTTGTTTACTCTTGTACACAAACGAGCAGACGAGAATAACGTTACCAATCTCAGTGATGAAACTAAGATGGCGGACATCAACACTTTCATAGATTTAGAAGCTACCAGCGGATCCGTGACATTCGAACTAAGTATTATTCCGTGGTGGGAACGATTCGTACACCGATGTATGCAACTTGACAACCGCCAGATTTTGAAACGGATCTGTATCAAGATGAACCAGATTTCCAGCGAAGATAGAGCGTTCGTGGCAGCTTTCATCGCAGCTCAAAAAGGCGATGGACAGCTGTTCCAGACCTTGTTAGGTGGAGATGTGAAGGTTGATGTTCAACGTACTGTCCAATGTAGTGGTCGCACTCTTTTGCATGCAGCAGTAGCAGGTGGGAATTTCTCGTGCGCAGCGGTTATTTTCATGAACGGTGGCTGGCCACTATTGTCTAAACCTGACCAGCAAGGTGTTACGCCGATGGACTTCGCTAAGAACACCAAACAGAAAGATCTGGTGGAGCTGCTAGGCCACTACGTCGAATTACAGTCTCGGGAAGCTGAGGCAATTGAGTCGACTGCCGATGAAACTGCGGATGTTGACGTTGATGCTGTCGAGTTACGTGACAATGAACAAGATGAAGACAACATTAGACACGAAAGAGAGAACGATCTCTCAGAAAGTCCCCCGCAAGATCTCGTCATCCAAAACGAGGTGACAGAGAACCTAGGAAAAGGAACTGCTGCCGACACTTTGAACGAAGTTGTAGCCAAACTCGAGATAGAACGAGTTGATCAAGAAAGACAACAGGACGAGGAAGTAAGCGAGAGATCTTCCGTTCACGTACGAACGGGATCCCAAAGGAGGCTATTTAGAGAGTCCAATATTGAAGGAAAGCTGCATAAGTCACTGAGAGCAAGCAAATCAGTTGATTCCCACGATGGATCTTCAGCCGTGAACTGTGTGGTTACTCGAATAGATGAAATACGACCGCTGAGCGGCAAAGCTGTCCCAGGAACCAGACAGCGCGAAGAAAAGCTTCCAAGGGTTAACACACCACCTTCATCACCCATGAATTCTCCTCGCATGCGTCGCAAATTAGTACCATCACTTCTGAACCCAGAAAGACCGGGAAGTCCTGTTCTCTACCCCAGGTCTCCATCATCTCCTCGACCCATGTCGCCTCTGGTATCTCGTTCAAGGTCCTCAACCCTTCCAGCAATGAGACCTAATCTGGCTCCTACTTACAATTCACCTGATCTCAGAAGAAAAGCCATGACTCTCAGTGGAGGCGAAAATAGACGCGAGAGGTATGTAGCAAATGGCGAAAAAGAGGATGGATGGGAAAGAAAAATAGGGTATTCCAGATTAAGTATGTTGATTGAAACCAGAATGTTTCTTATAGATCAATCCTTACCTTCTAAGTTTGATCGATGCTTAAATACTCGTTTCAGTACCTATACACTGTCGAGGAGGCAGGTTACGAGAATTCAGGTAATTATCAAGTTGGGGATAATGTTTGGATCGAGTACCACATTCTTAAGATTAACCTGCAAAGGAAAGTTAAGGAAAACGAAAAGTTGGTCACTTTGGCGAATCATATTGTGAGAGGGTTCGTCAAAAAAAGTAATCAATCAATCAAACAGTCAATTAATCAGTTTGTCAGTCAGTCAGGCAGTCAATCAACCCATTATGCGCGCTAGTAGTCTCGTAGAGAAGTAAATGGACTCCGGCACGTCTTTAAAATAAATTCAGCTGGGTTTGAATGTGAAATGAAAAAGACCAAACGGCTTTCGCTGATTTAGTTAACTTTTTTTTTAAATTACAGAAAAATGAGCAAGGAAATGCAAGACTTTTTATTTTCACACTACCACGACCGTGAAAGCAAACCTTGGAACGTATGGAAGACAGTCAGGAAAAGCCAGTTAGACCAGTTTGACGTGTCCGACGATGATTCGTCTTCCGAAGAAGAAAACGAGAAGCTCGCGAAGTTTCTTAAAAACACGAAGTCGGATCGCCGGAAAACATTCGAGGTGTGGTTAACCGATAAAGAAGCACAGCAAATAAGAAGACAGACAGCATTGGCCGAAATGGCAAAACAAGAGACAATTAGGAAAAGGAAAGAAGCACAGTGGCGACAGGTAACTGGCAAAACACATCAGGAGTGGCTTGAAGAGCTAAGAAGCGACGACCTGAGAAGCCCAAAACCAACCGAGGGCGAACAAAGCGACGAACGAAAGGCCGAAGCAATACGGAAATATCAGGAATGGTTACGGGCCAAGGACGAAGAAGCCTTGAAACGCGAGGATCAATTAAGGAAAGAGGCAGCTGCCAAGTTTACAGAATCGCAACAGAAACGAGACGAAAAATTGCAACGCGCATGGTTCAAGAAAAAACTGCTTAATACATCCTGAACCTCATACTCTTGTGAGGATGTAAAGCTGCAGGAGCAGAAATGACTCCTTTAAGCAAATTGAGATCATTTAGAGAATGGTCGGGGTAACGATTTCAAATTTTACTCTTAGGCAATCATTCTAATCTTCTCGGCTTTGCGAATCTAGAATCCTAAATTCTCAGTTCTTTTGTACCTTCAAAATTGACACTGCATCGTTTACTGTAAAAAACGAGGCACTGTTCAAAAGCTTTTTGCAGAAATTTCACTTACATATAAATATACAGAGGTAATTCCAAAGCTTTCCTCGCCCGTTAGTCTTAGAAAATTAAAGGAAACACGTTCAACACACATTAGTATGTACTAAAACAGTGAATTGGGTCGAAGACGCGCTCTGATTGGCCACTCAAATCCCGAATATTTTTTACTCTTTACCTCCGCACGACGCGAGAAAACATTGTAATCGTTGCAGGATTAAATGAGTTAAAATTACCTTTTAGTGCTATATCATCTCACTGATTTTGTATATCCTTAAAGGACTGTCTTAGTAGAGGTGGCTAGCATTAGATGTTTACCTCGTCGCTTGGCAGCTTGGTAAATATCCACCACTAGCCACCTCAGCTGAGATGGATCGTTGTTAAATATCCTTCGCAAGAAAAGAAACGTACGCAAATGACAAGAAATATTTCATTAAATGACCTTTATTACGAACTAATTACAAATTTTGTTTAGGCACTTTGCGTGCAAGTGAAAATCATCTATGCCATTTGGAATAACTGCTGATATTATTTGAATAAACAATTTCACTCAATTCGTATTTTTACCCATCACCTTCCTCTTTCAAATTAATTGTACAAAAAAAATGTTATTTTTCCTTTCATGTGGTTCATATTTTTTGCTCATATCCAGCCATTTAATTTTATTCATGTGAATGGTTCAAAAAGTAAATTAAGCATGATTATCAATTGAATAATTGCTACAACTACTATTACCTATCATGAAATGAGGACAATTTGAAATTCTGTCTAGGATTACCGTTGAATTGTACGATACGAGATGCAATTATTAATTATGAAAAAGGATACGATTGCTTAATACATATTTCATCATACAAAAATCGTGCTATTTCTAAATTACAGTAATTGAATATAATAATAATAAAACTTGAATTATTGAATTTGAATTATATTGAATCAAAGTCCCTGGAATGTTAATAATTTATCGGATCAATATCGGTATCTAAGCAACTGCGTACCTATTCCACCCCTAGCCTCACCCACCCCTCCCCTTACCTAACAACAGTTAACTGATAACAAGCTAGGGTTTATGTTGGGTCAGTTTCTCAAATACTGACACCGATCCAATCTTTCCATTTAGACTTTTGCACGACACGAATTGATCAAAAGGAGCTACGAGGTCTCCACGAACTTGTCTTTCAAATCTCTGTTGAAAATCTGCACAGAAACAGGATATAAGGCACCAGCGACGTCAATCTCAAAGCCTCCATCTTCTACAGTGGCATCCAGTCCCTCTCCTTCTAAGTATCCTAAACACATTGGACGATCCAGTTTGAAGCTATGACTTGCGCTTATCGTGGACCCTACCGAAGAGCCATTTCTGAGAATCGGCTCCCCTCCCCACGGGTAGTTGGTATCGTCGCGTTCTTCGAGTGCAATTTGCACAAGATGCTTCTTTGCGGGTTGTTGATCATCAGCTAAAAGAGCTTGCTTTCCAAGGAAATCGCAGTTCTAGAATAGATATGTTGGAAAATACAAACGGTTGGTTGAGCTGAACGGCACTAAAAATTTATAATTTATAATTTTTCTTCTAAATAATTAACGTTGACCGCGCCCAGATTCGACAAAACAGCTCAGCTTTCCTCATTAATGATCCTTAGTTTTAGCACAACGTCTAGCACATAATTTCTCCTTCCAATATCACCCCTGAATCAGACATGAAGGTCACAAGAATGCAGAACATGATCACCAACTAAAGAAGCTCTTGATTGTAACAAAAATCAAAGAACCTCTTTCTCCTTGTTAGCACCTTACGAAATGTATAGTGAACAGTATGGAGAATATGCCTACTGATGTTGGGGTGCAAAGTATTCATCCCTATTCTCCTCGGTTGACTTTCTCCCTTTATTTGGAAGAGGGACAGTCCATCATGCCTTTGAGCGTTCACGGTGTTTTCGCAAAGCGACTCATGTTTTGATTGGATCAAAATAAGACTCCCACTGACCCCACTGGGGAGATAGCATCTGAGCTAGGATTAGAGGGGAATTGGATACTGGAACATCAGGGAAAAAGAAACGAAAAATTTTTGAAGTTACTAATAAACGTTTACGCAAACCGTAACTTCAGTATTTCTTGGAAGAAGATAGTCTAAAAGTGGCCGGATCGGATCGTTCGTAGAGAAGAGAAAAGCAAATCCCGGCATTATAATTAAATTTCAGAGCTGCTTGGTTTATTAATACGGTTACCATGATTACCTTATCCAGTTGCACTCTGTCCATCACCCCAGCCTCCCTTGGAGTTACAAATGACGTCATCTCTTTTCCCATCTGTGGAATCAATCTCTCAATTCGCAAGCCATCAAGTACTGAGTGACCCGCGTTCCTTATGCCCAGATCTCTCCCGGCCTCCATCATTTCACGGTACAAAGAGACAGCAAACTGTAGTATAGAAAGACGTAAGAGAAGAATTTAACAGTGTTTGTGATAGTTGTCCTGTGCTAAAGAGGTCACTACAAAAACAGGGTTCGTAGATAGTTTTCTGGATCTTGAAGATTAGTTTAATAATATCCAAACTTCTCCAGTAATTCAATACTCTATAGGAACCCGGTAAATAGCCTTGGAAAATTAAATATGAGTGTAAAATGCATCGGAAACCATAAGGAGACGCAAGGTGTATAAAGAGAACTTTTAATCGCACTTTTGCATCAAAGCGGCCCTGAATCCTGTCATGTGACCTTCGGAGGCGAGAACAGAGCATACATCACGTATGCCTACTCATTACTATGAACATGCGCCAAAATTAGGAATTCCCAAATTCACAGAATATACAAATAGGAGCCTTCGAGTCCTTTGTTGGAAAATGGAAAAATGAAAATTCATTATTAGTTACTGCACGGAGTAAGGGAGGGAAAACGGACTGAGAGCTAGGCTCGCTTAAGCTTTAGATTATGGTTACAAGTGCAAATTTTTGAGAACCCTAAACCAAAAAAAGAGTTGCCTGTATCACAGATAACTAAAAAGTTAACTGAACACACAAAAGGTCTTCATATACAGGAACCCACCTCAGTAGGTACCAAAAGCTTCCAGTCGTTTTTCTGATCGCCAAAGTAGTTTGTTTTAAACGTCTTAACACCTGAGGCAAAGCCTAGGTCAATTTCCTGCGAAAAATAAAAATCCAAATGCAATTTAATGCGGAGGTCGGCTAATAAAATTCTTCTAGTTGTTTTAATTTTAATCTTTCTTGTTTTTACAGACTTCATGTTCTGTAAGAAAGGGGAAGACAATCAGTCGAAACGCGCTCTAAGGAATAAACTAAAACATGGCCATCTCCCATCACGTGGCTTTGTAGTTCAGTTGATAGAAGTGCGGTCAAAGTCTAGTGACTGCTGCTTTGTTTGTTTTTTTTGTTTTTTTTGTTTTCAGGTATACCATTATGTCCTTCTTGCCTGTGGATTATGACTTCATACGTGATTCTCTAATTAAAGTACCTTTACTTACCTTTACAATGTTTGCCGGGAATAGGTTCTCCTTTAAGGGGGTCTGGGTCAGAGTTTGAAGCAGCTGAGTCGAGTTTGGACCCAGTACTCCCAAAATAGCATACTGTGACTGAATGTTACGCAGACTGATCGCAGAGTTGGAGGGGATGTTATGGGAAATCATTGAGTGAGCAGCAGTTACTCGCTCTGCATCGTCCAGCATAATTATAAATCTGGCGATTTAAAAATGGATGAAGAGTGAAAAGTACGGCTGAAGCACACAATGATGGAAGGATAAAGAGAAAAAAACAAAGGCATACAATGACTCAAGGCAATTGGGGATCTAATCAGGGTAGTATCATTAGCTTTCTATTTTGAAGAAGTTTCCTTGCACAACTCCTTTTTCAAAAAGACAAAAAGACAGCTCAAAAGTAATTAAGGGGTAAGTTTTAAAGTAACCGTGGTACCGCGTCGATTGGGAGTTTACAAGATAATTTGGTTATCAATAGAGTTATAATGTAAATTGGTCACCGTAGAGAGTTTAGCTGACGCTTCGAGCGTTAGCCCTTCTTCAGAGCGAATAGAGCAACTGAGGTTTGTGTGTAGTTTATATACCAAAAACTGGAGCTACACTCTTGGTGGGAACACGGTAAGGCGAAAACAATAATAAATTATTTGAATGGAGTGCCCAGTTGAAAGTTAAATTCTGTTTGAGAGTTTTGGGGCTTTCCAAACTGCCTAGATGTAAGGAAGGCCGCAGACTGCCATATGCTTCTTAGAATTTGAGTCGAACCTCCTGCAATAATGGTTGAAAAAAAGAGGCCCACCTATTTTGTGCTTCTCGTATAACGGTGCAGCTCAGCTCTATTCCCCCGCGTTTGTTCAGTATCAGAGTACGCACAGAGCAACCGACTGGTATAGCCACATCATTAGAACACAAAAGCTGAAGGAAATGCTCCACCTCGCCATCTGCACTAGACTAAAAACACAAATACACATTAAGTGTTACCACTTAACCCCATACTCCCTAACATCAACATTCATATTCTCCATACGGTCCTTTCTACATTGGTAATGGACAAGGAGAATTTATCTGAAAATCACGAACTCCTTAAACTGATGATCATTTCCGTTATTATCATGGTTATTAAATCCAATGGTGATACTGCGCGTATAAATTAGAAGCCAAAGCTTGTACCTCAATTTCAAACAGACCAAGAGCAGTTAAGTCCACCACAGCTACCCCCTCGGTACAAGATTTGTACTCCACTTCTGTACAGCTTAGCCAGCCGGGCTTGCCAAACCCATTCTCACTGGGGTGGTCTAGGTAAAAACAAACAAAATTCAATGATGCATACAAACCCTGACTACTTAAAGTAGTCAGGGTTTGGTTATTGGGTTATTCAAGGAAGCGTTCAAAGCACATCCAAAAAAATCGTGAGGTTCACTAGCCTACGAGTAGCTGTACCCTCTCCCCCCTCCCCCCCCCCAAGGTGAAACGGAAGCGAGAGAACGTCTACGCAAATCATGGCATTAATCGTGTTCCGTGACGCTACTCGAATTTATGCAAATAATGCCATTTGGTAATATTTTTTTTGCGATATTTTTTTTTACCTCGCCTCCGTTTCACCTGGGGGGAGGAGGGGGAGGGTACACCTACACGTAGGCTAGAGGTTCACCCACAACTAATAAACGCTTGTAGCTCGCATTTTTGTGCAGTGTTAGGCGGCGGAGCAGCGAGAGGTTGTTTTCCTTCCAATTTTATTCGGTTCCAAGCCTCTCGCAGCTTCGTAGCTGAGTTTCGCGGTTCGGTTCAACGCTTCGAAGTGCACACGAAACCACCAGCTACGCAAGTTCTCGCCATCAAGCACTCACGGCACAAAAGACAAAAGTTGAAATAAGAGTGAATTGCGGCGAGTATGAAAAAGAAAGTGTCTGTCAGGTAAAAGTAGTATTAGCATTTCCGCTTGGTTTTTGTTTTGTTACCTCGAGTCAATCGGCAAGACTCAGAGGTCTAGAAGTACTTTTAAAGTACTTTTTGAAGTTAATTTCAAAACAAACGCTTGAAGCAAACAATCAAACCAAAATTTCTTCCAATCAGTTTTTTGGGCGCTTTGAAACGCCAAGCTTCGATGCAGCGAGAGAATTGGGACCGGATACAGTAATTCGCCTAATGTCGCTTCATAGCACACACAAAAGCGCCACCTACGCAGACTAGCTTAAAATTACATTACCTTCTCCCGGAAGTGCAAACCACTTGGGAACCTCCCACCCCATCTTCTCACTCCATGATGCACCGGCGGCGTTTAGCTCTGGGAACAATGGCGAACATCTGAGCCCGCGCGCAGCCTTTCTCTCTGAATACGGGTATCGTAGCAAGTAGTGCCAGGCGAGGGTCTCTTTCACGCACTCTCTTAAGAAGCGTTTGTTGTTGTGGTGAGGTGCAAAACGACGTATGTCTACACC